CCAAAATAATAAGGAAAGATGATTCGCGTAGAGACTGAACACCTGTAGCGCATCAGTTCATGAGCAACCCCACTGCAAATGGTACCGAAAAAAGATAGCGAAGTTTGGCGACCGACTGGTGATTACTGGCGAGTGAACGCCAAAACGACCTCTGATTGCTATCCATTGCTTATCATACCCAATTTGATGGCAACACTATCTGGTGCAAATATTTTCTCGAAAATAGACCTGGTTAAAGCGTATGACCAAATCCCGTAGGCTTTGGAAGATATTCGGGAAACGGCTATCATCACGCCCTTCGGACATTTTGAATTTCTATGTATGCCATTTGGCCTCCAGAATGAAGCACCAACATTCCAAAGTTTCACTGACGGAGTATTTTGAGGTCTGGACTTTGTGTGCGCATACTTAGACGACTGCCTCATTGCCAGTCCAGAAAAGGAGACTCGCCTTAGACACCTGAGTTTGGCATTCTAAATGTTACGCCTACATGGTATCACCATCAATACTTAAAAGTGTTTGATAGGCGTTGGGTCACTCAACTTTCTGGGCCGCACCATTGACTGCAAGGGCATACGCCCACTGGCCAATAAAGCTGAGGCGAAATTGAACTTTCCTGGGCCACAGACAGTAATACTCTTCGCACTTGTAACGGCTTGGTAAGTTGTTAACGACGCTTCATCGCTAACAGTGCTTCCCTGTTTCACTGACTAAGATACCTCCTTGGAGGAAATAACGAGTCCATCAAAATGCTTTCACTCAGGTTAATAATGCTATAGCGGATACCACACTTCCTATATATCAGGATGGAACCGCACGGTTAAGTGTCTCGATTGATGCATCAGACACTGCAATTAGCTGGGTTCTGCAACAGCTATTCAACAGAGAGTGGCAGTCTCTCACCTTTTTCTTGATGCGCCTACAATTAGCAGAAAAATATGCAGCACATTCGGCAGAGAACTTCTGGTGCTATACGTTATTTTTGACATTCAGTGGACTCATAGCATTCACTTGCCACAATGCTCTGACGTACTCTTTGAACTTAACCTCAGATAAGTTTTCACCAAGAGAATCACGACAACTGGACTACGCTTCACAGTTCACATCAGATATGCGCCGCATATCCGGAGCGAACAGCTCTGTGGTAGATGCCCTGTCGCACATTCGTTCCCTCACCCAAAATGATGGCATCCACCTTGTGAAACTGGCTCATCTTCAAAAAGTGGATACCAGGCTTCAACAGTGGTTGTCGAACACAACTCTGCGATTAGCCGAGAAACCCTTACGTATGGAAAGAGATACTATTGTATGTGACATTTCCACAAGTACTCCTCACCCCGTCGTGCATAACGGTTATCGCCATAACGTCTTCAATAGGCTGCATGGCTTATCCAAGCCAGCTATTCGAACTACAGTCAAGCTCGTAACTAGTCAGTTTTGTTGGCCTGAAATTATAATGAAGGAGTAAAAGAATGGGGACGCACGTGCTTAGCCTGTCAAAAGTGGAAATTAGTATTACACACCAAAGGCCCTTTTGGCACCTTTCTCATCCCTGATGCCTGCTTCGCACAAGTTCATGTAGATTTGGTTGGACCCCTTCCAGAATCTCATGAATATACCCATATCTTAACCTTCATCGACCGTTTCTCACGATGGCCTGAAGCAGTACACCTCAAGGATTTATCTACTGAAACAGTCGCACGCGTCTTTGTAGAAAGATGGATCGAGGATTTTGGATGCTCATCTTCCACAATAACTGATCGCGGGCGGCGATTCGAAAGCGGCTTATTCTTCGCCTTGACTTAAATCACAGATTGTATGTGTTCTAGAACAACAGCCCACCATCCTCAAGCTAATGATATGGTAGTACGTCTGCACCGACAGTTGAAAGCTGGGTCATCAGATGCAAACAATGCACATTGGACTGAATCACTTCCGTTAGTTATCCTAAGGATACGAAGCGCTTTGAAAACCGATGCTGGTTGTACTACTGCTGAGCTAGTATATGGCACAACACTACGACTGCCAGGTGAGTTCGTTTCTCCCTCTAGCTTTCCCCAGCTGTGGATCACGCCTCATACGTCAGCAGGCTTAAAACGCAGTGCGTTCAGTTGAACCTGCTCCCTTTCGACCACAGTACATAGACGTCTTTGTTTACCCGTGTTTGAAAACTCCGTCACACATATTTGTTCGTTGTGACTCTGCGCGTCGCCCTCTGAAACCCCCGAATGACGGACCATATAAAGTCATTAAACGTATGGATAAATTCTTTGTCCCAGACAAAAAGGACCTCAAAGACTCTGTAAGCATCAACCGTCTTAAATCGATCTACTTCGAAAGCAGTTGCATGAGTCCCAAACTGGGCATTCCGAATTATACACAAGTAACCGAATATCCATTGGCCCTTGAAGAAACCACTAGCACGGCGAAGGTATAAGAACCTTCTACCATAAAGAAAAAGTGTTCTGGACGAACCATGTGACTCTCAGGACATCTTCAAACTTATGTCACATTGTGAAAACAAAAGGCAGGACACGGAAGGCAAGGTATACTTTCCATTGGTCGACCCGCTGTTTTATTTTTATATTTTTATTGCAGTTTGATTCCACACCGTATTTTTGGAACAAGTATGGAATTTTCAGCATGTGATATCGGTAGCCCAAATTTTGCAGGCCGACCATTAATATCAGGTGTGCGTCGGCAGAGGATCGTAGCCCGGACCATGTGCATGGTCGGCGAGAGTCATAAACGCTGTGCCATCGACGCGGTTTATATTCTCTAACCAATCTCTGAGGGTTTACGTCACAAGATATGAAATAGAATTGCTAAATGACTACTTGGGGAACACCAAATCAATACAGGAAGCGGATAAGATTTGGTGAAATATACGTAATTTCGATCTCGCTATGAAGTCTCCGTGCCAAACGTATCACTGTAAGGACTCACACGGTCCAAAAGTTAACTCATAACACTGAAGTGGAAGAACTTCTATTTGTGCTTGCTGAACTTGATACAGAAGGTCTCGTGAAGTGACCCCTGTGTTATTAACTTTCTTATGTAGAAGACAGGAGCAAGAAATTCATGATCTCTTGATTCATGTGGAATTGCAGTGCAACTCAATGCGCAGTATTATTTATATGAATAAACTGAAAAATAAAGTTTTCCTTACCTTCTGTACAACTTGTCCTTATTTCAACTAAATAATAAATTTCACATATGGACCTAAGTTATGTCTGTGAAATCGGACAATATTCCAATTGATACAGTTTATTATAGCAGTTAAATCTTCCCTGGAACACAAGTTCAAAATCATGTTACATACTGTGCCCATATTGCAAATGCTTTTTGTCTCAAAATGAAAAGCAGACTGAATAGTTAGTGAAAGCTAAAACTAATGCTGAAATTGTGCTTTGAGCGCCAACAACTACCAAACCAATTCGGGTGATTCTAAACTACAGCACTGAATTGCGCACTTCTACTTCTGACGCATCTGATTGCCTGCTAGAGGTCTTCATTAGGTAGTCTCGTTCTGGGCTGCTATAGTTTACAGTCACCTCAATTAAGATAACGTTCCACTAAATGGACTGAATTTACCAGTATGATTTCAAGAAAGGTCAAAAATATATGCTTAAATTTTGAACTTCCTACCTTATTTCATCCATTACACTGCGCAGATATAAGTATCGAGCAACACTGCCTGATACAAATGCCGCAAAGTTGACGCACTTCAGGTACATTATGCCGCCGATATTCTGTATGTCAGCAAAGCTTCTTAATGCAAAATTTTATTTAAGAAGCGTACGAAAGGCATAAATTGCCACTAAACCAACAGAGCAACGAACATCGATGCTACAGTTAAGGGGGACATGCGATAAAGCCATTTGGTAATAATCATGTGTCTTTACATTGAAACGTAATGTTTTCTCCCCGTCATTAACATTGACACGTATTTATTTTGAGATTTACAGTAAACACCAAGGCTGACAGGGTAAGACGTATTAATCGTTCATTGACGGTATGAAAAAATTAGGCCTCCATGCAATTTGTTGTTTAAAACTAAGTTGAAGCTTGATATCTCTCCATAATATTGAAAATGCCGGAGTCAATTAGATATAGAAATCCTCCAAGTATCCCACTTGAAAATTCTTCGTAGCATTTTTAATGCATCGCCCGATAGACTGCTGAAAACTGATTAGACTGTGATATCAAAGGCGATAAGAGGCATCCAACCTGTGGAGACTTTTTTAGCGGAAGCTGGACAATCATGCAGAAATGCATGGTTTGTGTCTCAATGACTTATCCTCTTAAAATTTGAAACCACACTGTCAATGGATTAGCATACAAGCTAAATCCCCATGGCCCGTTCTGTCTTCTCTCACTGTACCGACTACTCTATCTTTTCCTTAGGTCACCTTTATTATTTCACTTATCTCAACCTATATTATCTACACTACAACCTATTATTATTATTACTATTCTGCTTTTATGACTACACCGAATGACCGACGGGTGTTAGGTCAAACTCCATTCACGGCAGCAGCTGAGTCCTAACATACTGCACACTACAAACCACATCTTGACCAATCCTCGCACCACTCCTCTTGGAGTCTACCAGAGCTAAAGCAGTCGAGTGGCGGGACTTACTACGCATAAGTTCACCGAAGATCTGGAACCTCTACCTTACAATCAAGAAGCGAGCTCAAAGAAATCACTGGTTTATACTAGTTCATCATCAGGATATTGGATATTGGAACCTAAATCCAATCGACTCTGGTTGAGTTTCACAAAAGCTTTCATAAAGTAGTGGAGACAAAGTGAGTGATGATGTAGACTTAATATATGGGAGTCTAAAAAACATTGCAAACATCGAGAAATAGTCGTGAAGCGGTGAGTTCAACTGATAACACAGCATTAAGTAGACATTGGGTGTTGAAACTGATGTACCGCAAAATTTATCTAGTGGGACTTGTTATCGCTTTCTCAGTGTACTTGAATTTGAAATGAACAATGAAATTCTTCCTGGCCCGTCAAGTAGACCAATTGATGGTAAAAACATTTTTAATGTGACAGTAGAAAAACCAGGAAGTAATTGTAATCAGAAGGTGAATGAAGAATGTAACGAGAAAGACTCAGTCGGTTGCTCCGAATATCTGAACAACATATACGTTATTCAGGTAAGTGTTATTGCCTACTTTTTAAACTTTTTTGTGTTAATGGTGAATCTGTGAACCTACCAAAAATCATCTGTGTAATTTTGATTCAATTATAATTAATTGTAATGTGTAAATGTGCGCGAAAACTTATATGTGCACAAATGGCTTGCCATTTGCCTTTGTAACAAATTTGTAGTAGCATAAAGACTTCTTGGAATCATTATTTATCACAATTGATATATCTAACGAACACAGTGTTTAACGGTTTACTAGAATAGAATGAACTAGTCAACATCTGGAACCGATGGCATAAATGGTGATTCCGGACTGAGTCGCAAGACTGAGGCAAAACCACTTCCCGAAGCGAAAGACACAACAACAGGAACAGTGTGCCCAAAAGTCTGCAACAGCACGCAGAAAGTCCCGAAAATCTAAGAGGGCAAGCAGCGCCGACATTGTAAGACCGCTAGGTGATACTACAATAACGAAGCATTGAGTGTCTGGTGAACGCACTGCTTCCATCTGCGAGGAGAGCAAAGTGGAATTAACTGACTCTACTTGGTTAGTGCCAAAAATGAGGAGCTGAAGAATTACAGGAAAGAGATAAGGTCTCGACCGCTGCAAACAATAATAATATTATGAAACCTTCGAGCTCAAATTACAGTATCTTAATTTGGAACTTAAAGTAATCATAGAAAGTAGATCCAGCTGCCTGATATGCCGATGATCTCGAGGTAGTTAGCTCCATCATTCGTGAAATACTTCCTGAAAAACAAATGGAGTTCACAAAAGAAAAGTCATCGGATCGGTAAACGAAATGCCAATGCAACGGAAAGTTCTCCACGACTGCTGAAGATAGTACTGGGGAACGAGATTGAGAAAAGCATTATTCTCAGCAACGCATTGAAGATCAAGGACAAAAAGATAAGTATTAGGCCCGACTGGCCTCTGGAAGATAGAATTAAGAGAAAAGACGCCGTGGCTCAATTAAAGGCCCGGCTAGAAAAAGGTGGAAAAGACCTTATACTGTTGGATTTTCGAGTAGTGAGGTCTCGGAAACCTATGTTGCCCAGACCTCTGTTCATAAGTCGAGTGAACACGTAGGTCTCTCAGTATGCTATACGAACGCGTGTAGTCTTAGGAATAAGCTTCCTGAACTAGGAGCGTTGTCTGAAGGATTACAACCTGATGTCATTGCTATCACTGACACAGGGTTTTTAGTGGGTGTAGACTTAACTCCACTTACACCTGAGTACATTTGCATTAGAGCAGACATAGAAACTAGTCGGAAAGGTGGGGGAAGTTGTCCTATACATCCGGGATGACATAAGAATTAGATCAGCGTTGTCGGATGCTCATGACAGCGGCACCAGTGAAGCCGAAAGCTGTGTCATTAACTTGAACAATGCCACTGTGACATTTGGAGTTATTTATAGAAGTCCTGGCAGCCAAGCTGACGATTTCGTACTAAATTACCTCAGGACGTGGAGTAGTAGAAATAGATGTCTAATAGTAGATGACTCTAATGGGAGGAATTAACGTTAACTACCTTGTACACTTGTTTCAACAGGGAACTCATACTGACAGTGGTTGAATGCTTACTTGTGCAGCGTACTGATGCACCAACACGAAACTATCCTCGAACATAATCCGTCCACGCTAGACGTGGTGCTAACACACCAGGAGGAGGATGTTGGCGACATAAGGTGGCGTCGCTAAGCAGTAGTGACCATATAGTTATCACTTTTACCTTTAGGAATCACACTGTCATACATGGGTTAACAGCTGCTCGTCCAAACATTTGGAAAGCGAATATACCTGCAATCTGAAGTGCAGCAACCCTAGCTGACTAGTCTGTCGAGGAAGCTTGCATGAGATTTAGGAATATACTCCCTTGATCTACGCCTCGAAAACTATCGCATAACCCAACTTCAACTAGTAATGAAATAAGGAGGTTACTAAGAAAACGAAAGAACTTATGGGAGCGGTTTACTGTGACTGAGAGTGATGAGTTCTGGGTGGAATACCGCGAAATTCGAAATCTTTGTAAGTACATGATTGACAAAAGTCGTATAAAGAATGAGGTGCAGTTAGTATTGGATTGTGTGCATTATCCAATAAGACTGTACTCGTATATCATACGCATAACTTAATCTAGCAGTGGTATTCCGTCCCTCATAAGCAGTACTGGAGAGGCTGCGGAGTCAGACGAAACAAAAGCTGTAAAGGTCTCTGAACACTTTTGAGATGGTTTTCCGTCTAATTGTACCACTCAGATCTGTAGCGACGTCACTGCTATAGCCACTAAAATGCCCACAATTATAGCTGAGGATGCAGTGGTTTTCAAACTATTGTCTAAGCTGAAGCCAGGTAAATCAAGTGGACCTGACAGACTTCACCCTAGACTGCTAATCTCCTTGGCGGAGATAATGTACATTCCACTTACGGAGATTTTTCAAATGTCTCTGACCCAGGGACTGAAAAGATGTTTTTATAAGCCCCATCTTCAAAGAGGGGAACAGGCAGTTAGTACCTAACTACGGGCCTGTAAGTCTGACCTGTATTATAGCAAAGGTGTTAGAAACACTCATAAAGGACCAGCTCTTAGCTCATATGGAGAAACATGGCTTACTGGCAGTGGAACAGCATGGATTCCGACCAGAACAATCCTGCTTGACAAACTTAATGTTAGCTAGGGAAGATTGGGTCGAGGCCAGGGATAAGAACCATCTACTGGACGTTGTCTATATCAGTCTTAGTAAAACATACGATAAGGTATCCCATTTAGCTCATCTAGTTAAACTTAAACGTTTTGGATCAAACCAATGCCTATGTGAGTGGTTTAGCCACTACCTGATGGATAGAAGGCAGAAGGTAAGGGTTAATGGTGCACTGTCAGGGTGGAAAACAATACTAAGAGGAGTATCTCAGGGAACTGTACTTGGCCCCCTTCTATTCCTACTTTACCTAAATGAAGTGCCGAAAATTCTTACCTCATCTTCCTTATTATTTGCCGACGATATTAAGATATGGAGAACCATAAATGGTAACGATGATAGGTTAGCACTACAAAACGATGTAGATAACTAAGCTGAATGGACTAACCTTTGGAGTCTGGAAATTAATTCCAAGAAAAGCGTGGTAATGTACCTAGGTATGAGGCCTTATACGTCGTACTCCCTGAGAGACACAGAAATGCCAGATATTAAGGAACAAAAAGAATTAGGAATTATTGTAATCCATGACTTAAAAACAACGGCAAATTGTAATCGAGCAGCAGCTAAGGCTTTTCGAATGCTATGGGTACTTCGAAGGGCTTTCAGATGATTAGATGAGGGTATGTTCCAAGTACTCTATGCAACATGTATTAGCCCTTATCTAGAATACTGCATACAATCGGTGAGTCCATGCTTCTAAAAGGGGGCACATATCCTGGAAAGAGTACAGAGGATAGGAACTAAATTAGTTGGTGGCATGTCACACTTTACTTATGATAAGAGGATGGAGTATTTAAATCTCTTCTCATTATCATACCGAAGAAAGAGAAGTGACTTAATTTTGTCTTACCGTATATTCAACGGTGATTTAGGGATTGACTTTTCAAACCTTTCCTCTCCCTCTAGGGTAGATTTACGAGGTCACCACAAGAAGGTGCTCAAACCGAGGTCGAATAAAATACTTGTGGAATTTAGATTCTCTCACATAGTGGTCAATGACTGGAACTCCTTACCTGATTCAGTAGTAACAGCTCCATCGGTGAACGCATTCAAGGAGAAGTTAGATCTCTGCAGAAATATATTTTGCAAGGATTAACATAGGCAACAAGAGTCTTCTGTCCTTATAATCTGAATCTGCATAAAGACCTTATAAGCATCCCCATGAAGCGATCAATAGTTGTCACTTTGGAGTACTCAGTCTTAATAATAACGCGAAAATAATACTGAAAAATGTACTTATGACTAGGTTAAATGAGAGGAAGTGAACTGGGTGCTTAAAAATTCCAGTCCATGTCCAAATGATGCACATAATGCTGAAAAAACACAGACAATATGAAATCTTCCCCGGCTGGGAATACTACAAGCGACCCACTCATAGGCGAAATGTGGCTCATTTTCTTAAAATGCCTTCAAGTAAGAGTATACGCTAGTGAAGGATCTATTTCTGAGGTGTGAAATGAATTAGGCTGGTTAAATGCAGAATACTGTACAGTAAAGAAGGTAGGCTTAATGATCTCAAGGTTTCCATGTCCAGTGTTGTCAAACACTTTTGACCACAAAAATCGGATTTCGTAATAGGCATAACAGAACAGGTCGCACAACATCTACATTTTAGGAGATTCCATCCATGGTAGTATTCTGAAATATTTTTCTCCTCCAATCAAAATGACTGTTAATAATCGCCCAGGGGATGTTTTCTGGGCCAATAGATTTGGCAAAATTGTCTGTAACGATGATATTATGTTGTCAACAAAGGCAACAACACTATTCATGGACGTCTAGTAATTAAAGCAACCATTAACTTTCCGCACTATTATTTCGTTACCTAGATAATGTTTTTAATCGAAGTTTCAGAGGACGAAGGGTGTAGACTAGTGCGTTAGATATAGTGGTATGATAATATACGCATGTAATTATCCACCTCTATCGTACTTTCTCGATATAGCCAGAGGACAGAAGGCACAAATTACGGCAAATATTTCGAGATCAGTTCGGTAGAGCAGTAATGAATACTTCGTTAACTAGGGACTTGCACAAAGAAATATACGTGCAAATGGTGAGGATGTCTGACCTCTTGCGTTCAGCTGAAACAGTGAAAATCAGCATCCAGTGTTAAATAATAAAAGCTTTAGGCGGATAATCTTGAGTAGATATTTACCGCTACAAAGAGTTTTCTTCTAAACATTACCTTTCCGGAACCCCTGAGATTGAATATTTTTAGTTCTGTAAGTGCTTTCAACCAATGCCTCTGTGGGTTAGTACGTGTTGGAGACGCACAAATTCTCCACAATTGTCTGCTGTTAATATGAAATTACTAGTGGAAGTTTCACCGCTTTAATACATCAGAAGAATTCAAATTGTCTTCTTACAATTTTAATTTATTGTATATGTCAATTAAAAATGTTAACAGGCTGCAGAGTATTGTGGTCACTTTCAATGATAAGTGACTACTGTTTTCTCCTAAAAATGTTATTTTGTTTCTCAGTGATAGTTTCACTGTCACCCTGTGATACTTCGGAATTTTAACAGAAAGGAACTTATTACAGTTGTTTTTTTCCAACAGTTAGTAAAATACACAATTTGGCAACCCATTCTAAGGGATCACATACTTTGAAGTAGGCACTGAATAAACAGTTTACTATTTCTAGATCCCCTCTCCCGGCTTACAAATTGTTTATTTTCATGCTTTTCGTAAATTTACTAGTATAGATGGTTCACTGTTGTTGAAAAATCTGCAGAACGGCCAAATATATTATTAAACGTGTAAATAATATAGTGATAAAACTATGAAAAGTAGACATACTTCGAAACTGTACCTGTTAAACAATGTTAAAAGATGACAGAGTCATTTTGGAGTATATTAGCTAATAAATTTTATTGCCAAAGACTATATAATGTGATGAATCAATACTTAATTTGAAATGTAAGAAGATTGTGATTGTTTTACTACCACTAAGTAGATACAACTTGTCAACGTACACAAAAAATAATAATAATAAACGTTCCAACGTGTCAATTTAGAATGACTTAAGAAATAATGTCTAATTTTAAAATCCATGACGTATTACTAGTATTTAGAAGGTTTCATTAAGGAATTATAGCTTCAGTACTTCAAAGAACCTAAAATCATTGACAAGTTTCAAATCACAGCAGATCAATTTCTCTCATTAGAATACAATGTCTTTATCTGTGAAGTAACAGTCAGTCTAATTATAAAGTAATTTGTTATCTATGTTTATAAAACGTTTGAAAATACTGATGAAGTTGTGTTCTCTGAGATGGTTGATTTAGTTGTGAAGCTTTGATTGTCTTTCTAGACAACATCTTCGGCTCATACTTAAGTTTATAGTGTTCTTTTAGAGTTCCCTAGGAGTTTATCAGCTATCTCTTCTAGGAGCCTTGTAAAGGGTTGGTTATTTCTGGATAATTGTTTCTTACCACCTAGTCCACATGTATTGTTGTTGTTGATTATTTGTTTAATCTAAAAGTTGATCTTTTGTTCATGTGACTTCCTTTTTATTGTTCGACAAATCTTACACATGTTAATGTGACTATTGATTGCAGGTTTGCCTGAGTACTAGGCTTCTAGAAATTTACCGGTATTTTTGGTGTTTTCTTTATCTAGGATCTGTACATTTCCCCAGTCGAATTAGCGTCCATGGTTGTCTGCACGTCTTGATATGAGGGAATGAATATGTTTTGCTGATAGCCAGTTTATGTTTGCGCTATCTAGAAAGACAGTGAAAGCTTCTCAACTGTAGCCATCCAGGTAGGAAAACAAAACTTGTTATTATTTCCATGTGTTCCTGAGGCAACGTAAAGCTATACCAGCACATCTCCATTTCATTCTGTCCTTTGCAGTCGTCGCTAGCTGGCTTTACGTCTACCCGTAAACTCTCATCTTCTCCTCCACGTTACCTTCTGACCCACATCTAACTCGCCATTTCCCATTCACCTTCTAATCGAATGCTTGTCCCTCAACAGTCTCCTTTGTGTGTGTGCAGTCCATCTTCATTTCTTTCTGCACGTTTGTTAGCCGATAGATTCTTGGCTGGTTCTCTCCCGGAGTTATCCATGCTAGCCATCTAATATTCAGTATCGAACGAAGACACCTTTCGATGAAAGTCCGCAGCAGGCTGATGGAAATACTTTTTTGACACGCCAAATCTCTGGACCATATAAAAACAGTGATTTGATATTAGTATTGAAAATCTAAATCTTGTTCTTTATGCTAATTACAGCAAATTCTCACGCTGATATCAGAGTAATGAAAGCCTGTCTTGCCTTCTCGATCCTACTTTTGACATTCTCATCTGTTCAACCTGTAGTTAAAGCGACACTGCCTAGATAAGTGAAAGAGGAGCCCTAGTTCTACTGCACAAATATTATCCACCTATGAGGCAAATCTTCTGTATCAATTTTCAATGTGTATTTCATTTTTTTAAATAGGATTCTATAATAATTTATTCCACACACTTATTATCATATCACAAACTTATGGTTTAATGAATTTGTTTCACTATTTCAGAGAATGCAGGCTATGGCAAATAGAGCTGAAGAAGTAGCACGTCAATTATGGATGAGTGGATGGGAAGTTGTTAACTTTCAACGACTACCTGCCTGGCTAAAAGACAATGATATGTTGTTACATGGTCACCGACCTCAACTAAATACTATATGGGCTTGTGTTAAGTCAGTTTTTCGTATTCACACTGAGACTGGTAATATATGGACGCATTTTCTGGGTTTGTTTGTCATTAGAATATCATTAATAACAAAAATTATTCTAATCATAATTTAGGTTGTTTCGGTTTTACCGTTATATCTCTGTTTATGCTGTTTCAACCCAGCAGTTTGCTACAATGGCAAGATAAACTTGTCTTCTCGGCCTTCTTTTTTGGAGCTGTATGTTGTCTAGGATTTTCTTGTATATTTCATACAATCTCTTGTCATTCGGAATATGTTTCACGGATAATGAACAAGTAATGCAGGTGAAATTTACTTATATAATAATTTTTCTTTTTTGCTGGTTTTTATAGCTATGAGACTGAATTTCACTATATTACCTGAAAAGCGGAAACAGACATGAGTACTGTGAAGTAAATACACATAGTTCTAGATTAATTTGTTTTTTTGATATGCCACCTACAGTGAAACAGTATTATTTACTGGATGACAAAGTTTCGAATACAATCTGTTGTTCATAATCATGTCAACTATAACTAAACAACCTGGAAACTTAACTTTTATAGTTCATTTTCTCTTTCCCATTCGTCTTAAAGACGGCAGAATTGTTTCGATGTCATCGACAGGTACTAAATTATTACTATTTCACGTATTTTCAGTTGATTTGATGAATAAGGTTTCTGTTATCAACCTCTCCCACCACCTTGTTATATAAGATTTTAAGACTTTCATCTTATCTCACGCTATAGTAAGGTTATGTATAATTGTATGTAATGCTACAGACGTCGCGCTTAGGGAGAGACTGATAACGGAAGCCTCAAAAATAGAATCAACTTAGAATATGTTCATCAGGAATAATCAGACACCTGTCGCGGGGGTCTTAAAAAACCCTACTCCCTTATGACAAATACGAAGGAAGAAAAAGCAAAATAAAAATCAATTTTCGAAGTTGTGCAGTTATAATTAATATGCTTACAAACAACAAATTGTTTTGGAAACTTTGTTATCCGGTAAATAATACTGTTCCATTGTGGGTGATATATCCAACAAACAAATTAATATGGAACGACATACTACCACAGAGCCGAAGTTTTGCGCATATACAAGTACATATAGAAGGGAACCCTTGGTTTCCTTTAGTATGAAAGCTTGAAATTGAATTAACTAATTATTAAATTTAATAAAGAATTATCTACGTTGAAATTTAGTTGTTAGTTGGTTTCCTCAGCATGTTGAAGTATGAATTTCTGGTCTATTGTCCCAGATAAAAAGTGTTATTATTCATGAAATTTCTGTTTGAAAGTGTAGAACTTTATTATTATTATTGTTACTATCTGTTTTTATTATTTTATTCCTTTACGTTCTGAGTGGAACACAGGGCTTCAAGCTTGAGCTTTGAAGTTTCGGTAGCAGTAGAATTTAGATTTTACGGGGTGCACTCGCTAGCAGCACAACCTTCCATCTTTGCCGGCTTTACTACTGGCTTAGCGAGGTTTAGGAGTGCGCTGGCCGGGGATCGAACCCCGGACTTAATGCCTAGTTGGCAAGCGTTGTACCACCGATGCACGTAGAACTTCATACTTACCCGAAACTTCAGCGACTCAACCGAGATGTCAAGAAAATAATAATAATCTATCAACTGATGTGTGAATATAATAAAACATTTATGCAATACCGTTTAGTACTTACAATAGTAATTATAGCTTTGTTCTGAAAAGTGTGTTAATTCACAATGAATTTTTGTCAACTCTTTTATTGCAAAGTATTTACTCATTGTGCAGAATCTTCAAGTACTATAACAGATGATAATATATCAGTTAAAGTGATGTTGTCTCATCCGATTCGTGTCCTAAAAATACTCAATGTTTCTCCTTCATTTCCGTCAGAAAATCTGTAGCAATAGGTTGAAAATATGTCTGGGTATTTATAATACAAACCAGTTATGGTTCTACGTTAATTACATGGAAATTCCAAAATTTATAATCTTAGGCTTAATTGTCTTCTTTAGGCTTTTTCTTTGTATCTTAAAAAATTGTTGACCTAACATAATCTACAATTAAAGCTGGTCATTTCACTAGTCAGAACATTGAAAGTGTTTCCAGCTTAAATACTCTGTATAAGGTCCTAACAAACTGGATTAAATCAAGTAGATAATATATATATATACACATTGCTGAGTTCGCACAAAAAACTTCTACCGAATTCTTACATCTCTTACTCAAGTAGTTCAGTGTCATAGCCTGGAGAAGTTTATTGGCTCAAAATCCTTCTTAATGATGGAGATGCATTTACTCTATGGGCTTCTAGATCCATTAATAATTCCTCATTATTCTCTGTGTAATTATTTTCGTCCATTCTACTTCTTGTGCGTATCTTCTGTCAATATTTATGTGTGTATTTTATGAGGTGTGGGAATTTGAATTGCTGGACTATTCTGCAAAGTTGTGTCGAAAATTGAGTCAGTCAATCAGTTAGTTATTTTTCAAATCCCTCTAAAGTGGGGATTTAATATCAGTTGTATATATGTATATATAACTCATGTGGACTTGTCTTAAAAATACCCACTGAATAAAGGTGGTGTCATTTCGAAAAAAGCATACAAGAATATGAGTTGTCATTAAACCACCACAGCAACGGATTACGATGCTACAATTAGCAGGGATATGTAATAAAGCCACTTAATTTCGACTGTCCTCACTGAGGGATAACTAATTAAAATATTTCTGTTTAAATCATCTTAGAAACGCATTCTTTAATTCAGAAAGCAAAAAGGATTGAACGAAGAAATATTTACTTTCCAATTAGATCTTCATCTCTAGCTCTACTCTAATATATATATATATATATATATATATATATATCCATAGCATTTTTATTACAATACACAATAATTCACCTATCAAGTGGCGATACGTTTGTTAACAATAATTATTCAATATCAACATGTCACGGGGCTTGACAATAACCAAGACAGATAATTAAAACAATTAAAGGGTAGAAATGATTACAACAATGATAGCATGTAATTAAAGATGAAGTAAACTAAAACAATTAGTCCCTTTGATAAATTTGAATAGGGCGTTAAGAAGACAAATTTCGCGAGATGATATCATTTCGTAGTTTCTTTACAACCGCTTTACAACTAACATGGTTAACAATAATAAAATAAAGATCATGACAATTACTCAGTTAAATAAAAAAACAAAAGTACATACTAATGACCAATCACATTTAGATAGGTCATGTAGTCCAGGGTGGGCGAAGATTGAAGTCTATTGATTTTGGTACACACAGTTTAGGCTGTATGTGATTCATCCCAAGTGCTTCCATCACCTTCAATAACCAACCTTGAATTAGAGTTATGTGAAATAATTGTGAAACAGTCATTAATATTAATTTTGTGACCTGACATTAATAAGTGTTTTGCAATGGATGATGCTAGATTTCTATTAAGATTAATCGCGTTGGGATTTACTATATGATTTAGTAGCCATTTCGGAACATGTTCCTTTCGACGACATTGGAACATTCTGTTGGTTCTACCTATATAGGTGTCACCGCAGCTGCGGGTGAACTTGTAGATATAGTTTGAAGTAGAGTCCACAGAATTTCGTCCTTTAATCGTAGGTACAGCTATCTAAAATGTTCGGCAAGTGAGAAAAAGATATGCGGTCTAAAATGTGCGTTTGATGGCTGACCGAAGTCTTTGAGCTGTCAAGTGCATAATCTGGTAGCCCTTGAATGGTAGGTTAATAAAGATAAGTTTCTTTGGTACAGTAGCTGTCTTTTCGAGATGTGGTCTTTCTTTACTGTGACAAGTGATAAAGTTTTCCGGATAACCATTAGCTAATAAAACTGAATGTATATGTCGAAACTCATCCATCAATTTGTTACTCGTGCATATTTTTCGGGCCCTTGAGAACAAACATTTCACTAGGGAACCTTTATACTGGATAGGAACAAAACTGGTAAAATGAAGATATTGTCCACTCCGATCTCCTAGTCATAGTAATATCCAGGAAACCGAGTTTGTTATTCGATTCTAGTTCGGAAGTCACTCGAATATTTGGATGAATATGATTAAATAGGGTAATGAAGTTTTCAATAGATTTACTATTATTACCAATAATAAGAGTATCATCTACATAACGTTCATACAGCATAAATTCTCCAAGCACACCTTGCATTTGTTTCTCTAATTTCGACATGAATATATCTGCCAACAGGGGCCCCAGAGGGCTCCCCATCGCAACACCATCGATTTCTTTGTATGCCTTTTCTTGGAAGGTGAATCTAATATTTTCTGTACACATTAAGATAATGTCTTTGATGTAAGTTACAGGAATAGGTAACTTTGTCCCTGTACCTGTACCTACGATTAAAGGACGAAATTCTGTGGACTCTACTTCAAACTATATCTACAAGTTCACCCGCAGCTGCGGTGACACCTATATAGGTAGAACCAACAGAATGTTCCAATGTCGTCGAAAGGAACATGTTCCGAAATGGCTACTAAATCATATAGTAAATCCCAACGCGATTAATCTTAATAGAAATCTAGCATCATCCATTGCAAAACACTTATTAATGTCAGGTCACAAAATTAATATTAATGACTGTTTCACAATTATTTCACATAACTCTAATTCAAGGTTGGTTATTGAAGGTGATGGAAGCACTTGGGATGAATCACATACAGCCTAAACTGTGTGTACCAAAATCAATAGACTTCAATCTTCGCCCACCCTGGACTACATGACCTATCTAAATGTGATTGGTCATTAGTATGTACTTTTGTTTTTTTATTTAACTGAGTAATTGTCATGATCTTTATTTTATTATTGTTAACCATGTTAGTTGTAAAGCGGTTGTAAAGAAACTACGAAATGATATCATCTCGCGAAATTTGTCTTCTTAACGCCCTATTCAAATTTATCAAAGGGACTAATTGTTTTAGTTTACTTCATCTTTAATTACATGCTATCATTGTTGTAATCATTTCTACCCTTTAATTGTTTTAATTATCTGTCTTGGTTATTGTCAAGCCCCGTGACATGTTGATATTGAATAATTATTGTTAACAAACGTATCGCCACTTGATAGGTGAATTATTGTGTATTGTAATAAAAATGCTATGGATATATATATATATATATATATATATATATATATTAGAGTAGAGCTAGAGATGAAGATCTAATTGGAAAGTAAATATTTCTTCGTTCAATCCTTTTTGCTTTCTGAATTAAAGAATGCGTTTCTAAGATGATTTAAACAGAAATATTTTAATTAGTTATCCCTCAGTGAGGACAGTCGAAATTAAGTGGCTTTATTACATATCCCTGCTAATTGTAGCATCGTAATCCGTTGCTGTGGTGGTTTAATGACAACTCATATTCTTGTATGCTTTTTTCGAAATGACACCACCTTTATTCAGTGGGTATTAGGGTCTTTCAATAAGTAGCCCAAAATATACCAGCAAGATTTCACGAAATTAATTAATATACGTTTAACTTTTGAACTTACTCTCTGCATTTATCCATTACATTACGCTGTTATCGGTGTGAAGCAACATTTTATGAGAAAAGTGCAACAAATGTTACGTAGTTTAAGAATATAATGTACTTCTTTCATGAAGTTATCCGAATTACCTTTCTCTTTTACATAAACAAAATCCTTCTTTTCTTAGATATTCCTCAATCAATAATTTTTCGTTTGATTAAATACTCAGGAGTGAACGCTAGGAGCAATGTAGGAAACACACAAAAGGAAATCACACAGTTTGTCTTTAGTTTAAATGGCTAACAGTCTGTATGTTTGAGGTCATAATAAGGTATCAGCTTGTTGGGTTAATATGTGAAGTTGGCCTTATACTAAACTAATAAGGCTTCATTGTTTTTAATGTAACTCGCAAAATCCAGAACGGAATAACCAAATTAGAGTTCATGTTGATTATGTAGGTGAGTAATTCCTTTAATTTATAATGAGTTTATGAATGTTTTTAGAATTATTATTTTACTATTTATTTCCTGAGTTCCTAGTTAAGTTTAATTGGCTGTGATATTGGTTTTGCAGAAGGTGTGTTGCTAGCCTCACGTCCATCCTTCCTTCTCTGTCAGACTTATCATCGACTACCAAAAGTTGCTTTCAGTTCTGTTTTTTTGGTAATGATCTTTTTGCTTTAAAAAATAACATTATTTGATGTCAATTATAACGTTATTTTGCCGAAAAGAATATGACTATTAATTAGCTGTCTATACATCCATTTCTGTTTCATCTTATAGGCTTGATTATGCTGGGATAGCATTTCTTACAATAGGCTCATTTGTGCCTTATTTGTATTATACATTCTATTGTGTATTTTGGGCGAAAGCATTCTACCTAGCATTGATTGGAGTTTTGGGAACTGTTGCAATTATCGTCTCAATGTCTTCCAAGTTTGCTACTCCTCCTTATCGACCTTTAAGAGCTGGAGTTTTTATTGCTCTTGGTCTTTCAGGTGTTATTCCGTGCATACATGCTATCATTTGGAATGGATTTTGGCCATCTGTCAATCATGGTTCACTTGGTTGGCTTGTTCTTATGGCTGTATTATATATTTCTGGTGCTTCTATTTATGCAGCAAGAGTACCAGAAAGATGTTTTCGAGGACGTTTTGATTTATGGGTCAGTTAGTTTTCACTATATTTTTCCGAAGTGAATAATAGTAATTGTTATTGTACTACTCGAAAAGAACAACCATTGAAAGTCAGGAGCAAGTTTCTTCATAATTCAGGACTCCTTTGAAATGCTCATCTATGACTTCATAAAAACTAGATTAGTATGATTCGAGGATAGCTGACTGCTTTTATAAATTCATTGCTCCAATTTTAGCAACTGTCGGTAACTAGTTGGAATTAGAACAGGTAATACACTGAAGATTATTCAGGAAGTGATAGTGAGGATTTATGTCAACTGAATGCATGATTATACTGATAACACGCCTTAGAAGTACGATCATAAATTCGAACCTTAAATCACACTACGAAAACCTCAGCTACAGCCAATGAAAACTGGTTTCTATAGGGCTTTCACTATTTCTTGTTTGTTATAGTTCATCAAGATGAATACGCTGGGTACTCACACTTTGTAAAAGGGAAAGATAAAAGATAAAAACGTTAGGAAACTTTAATACACTAACGCATGTAGCAGAAGTAATAATTTACGAAGCAGCTACTGAAGATGTTCAGAAATCCGAAGATGACACAAGATGAATACGTCTACAAGGAGGTAACCTACATCCCACTGAATAGTTCGGTCAGAGGACTCATGGACTGATGAATATTGTTAGTCTCACCACGTCTAGCTCTCTTCCAACCTCATCCTACTTCCTTTTTAGGTTAATTTATATCTCCCATTGATTGATTATGTCGGGGCGAAATGCCCAATCTCTGTTGGCCTGCCAACTCTCAGTACGGACACTTCGCCAATTTCTAAGGCTTAATGTGAAATTATCTTGGTGGGATCCAGGATGTGTATTTTGTCCTGTCTGAGACTCGTAAGCTGGATGTATCTGCATTCCCAATGAGTGACAGTGTCCCAGGTGAGACTCAGACCCAGCTCCAATCATTTCAAACTTAACGTTAATCCTTAGACATAACTGAGGCGTCCTTACTAGAAACTGGCATTTCAGCATAGATCCATCATCGCGGTCGAGCGTAATCAGTCAACGGAAAATACAAAATTAATCTAAACACAAATAATAATTGACACTCACTGGGCCCAGGTGGATAATGCGTTAGCGTTTGAAACGATGGGTGCAGTGCTTAAGTTTCACTAGGCAAACCATCATTCACTGAGAATGCAGGTATATCCCTCTGATGAGTCCCAAATCAAATGGAGTGCACATCCTACTTCAGCTAACAGTAAAAAGTAATTTTTAGTGGCATTAGTCACCAAATAAACTCAATTTGAAACTAAATCAATAGCCGACTGACATACTCCAGTATTATTATTATCATTATGTACTTTTGATGCTGCTTCATGTGATGATCGAAGCAGCTGTTTACTCTAATCATCCTGATCACTAATCATGTGACTATTGTTTACTATATATGTCACTTGCATAATTCATAAACTGTATCATCACTGATAAGTATCATAATGTTCTGAATTGTGAGCTATGTGTATTACAGACAAGAATAATAGGGCCAACAAATATTACCACACACGTATGTCATCATATCATATCTTAACTTCTTAAATGAGAATTTCTATATTTCATTATCCCAGTTGTTATTTATAACGATGAAAATCAGGTTAAATCAATTTTTTTCCGCTTTGTTATTTTATTAACGAGAGGACACGATTCAATAAATGCATTATAGAGTATAATCTGATTTCGATTGATCGACTGATCGATCAATAGGTCCATCCCCTGACCCAATTTTTTTTCATCATACTTTGTACTTTTGTTTCCTGCATATTGCGAATGAAGAATGGTATGATTTTAATGCGAATAAAAACAGCTAAAAAGAATGTTTTATGCAATGGCAACATTTATCTCAATATATTAACCTGAAAGTCGCGTTTTAACTCCTTATTCTGAGAATTCCCGATAAGTTTCAGCATGACTTTCCAAAAGAAAGTCACTATCATTAATATAGGAGAAGACAAATTCAAAGACAGTAAATCTCTCTTACAAGTTGTTGTAGAGCAATTTAGCAGTTAGCACACATGTCATCCTTGTCTTGAAATGAAACGATTACGTTACATTGTGCATTAATATGGTCACATAATGTGAAAGACTTCAAATTCTATTAATTTCCAAGTGTTGGTTTGTATGGATTTGGTTTCCTGATTGATTACAAAGTGAATTAATTTAGAGAAAAATCAGGGAGTATTGAAAAGTTTTTAACTCTTCAGCAGTGCACACCTATGACTCCACCAGGGATAGAACCTAGGACTATCGCGTTACAAGACGAACTCGTTGGCTATTCAGCCACTTGGATAGAATCGAGTGGCCCGTGAATTCTAACTCCTGCCAATCCGCGATATATAATTTGACTGCCATCCAATATCATCGATGCGTATTCGTCCTTATACCTAACTTGGTGGAGTCCGCTCTTCACGATTTCCAACCCAAACTTCAAGCAACTTCGAGTTTACCTTGTAGGCCTGTCATCTTCATCCAATAAATAATTGTTGGAGGCTACTCTCGATAGGCATCAACTACTTTTTTAACAGTCATTAATGAAAGTCTCTCAGTTTTCATACTTTCCATTGTACTGCAGTACAAACATTTTGGCTTCTGAGATACAACAACTTATTTCAGTAATTTCTCATCAGGCTTTAAAATCACATAGTAAAATATTAATTATAGACGTCTGATACCAATGTGGTTAATACAATTCAAGTTCTGGCGTATTGATTAGTGGATAATGGTTAAGATGATCATATTGATGATAACAGCAATAAATTCATGTAGTGTTTTTATATGATTTGGGTAGTCAGTTATTGTGAATGTTTTTGACCGGACACTAGTCAGTAACTAGTGTAATGTATGTGTGTGTGTCTAGTCCTATCTTTGGTGAAGATTGAATTCTATCAATCAAGTTTGCAATTCGGCCACCATGCTAGATGGCTCGCCATCACGGTGCACATTGATTTGGTGATATTAGATGGTTTGAGGCAATCGGCAGGAAACCTTACTTGACCTAGGTTTCGTGCTAGTTGGCACTTATCATCAAGGCGTATCTGCAACCTCGAAGGAACTCATGTCCCTTCTGCCATTCGAACCCGCATCACCCAGTGCTGTAGTCAGAGGCGTTACCACTGAGCTGACGAGCACCAACTAGCACGAAACCTTGGTCCAAGGCTTCCTGTCGATTTCCTCCAACCATCTAATACCAACATTGTGAATGTGTTAGTAGAACATACATATCTGTTAGAATAGGTTATAGTGTTTAATTTCTGTAATAAATTTTGAAGCTAAGATTAAAATAGGTAACTGCAATACAATAAAATAATGATAATCAGAAGAAATTAACAGTACAAATAAAGACATTATTTACAGTTATGCGATGTCTTCTGGAAAGGAAACTATTCTAGGTTTAGGGTGCAGACCATAAGAAGAAGGAGTCAGACTGAACAACTCTTTTTCCAGCAGCATGGTTGTCATTGAAAATCTTTTTTATGGCAACTGCCTCAGCACTGCTTAGCAGTCGAAAGCGTACAAACCTAAAGAATCGAGGTGACACCTGATTGATTTTTTGATTCCTTTTCCTAACCATTTTGGACAATGCTAAAGGTGAGGACGGTGGACTTACCGAGTAGTTCTACCTATGGAATTTTCTCCACAAGAACAGTTAAATGGATAAATCCACATTGAAGTCACCATTTGCATAAATTTATCCTTTTTATTCCTTTATAGTAATCTGATCACCTTGATTATTACACACTATTTAATATTCTTAAACTGTAATCCTGTTAACCACATTGGTTTCAAATATCTATGATCAATATTGTATTATGTAATTGTCAGTACACTCTGATGAGAAATTCCTGAAAATATGTATTTGCTTAAATTGTGTTCTGTTTCAGCACAAAGTTCACAAGATTACCGATCTTTTCTGTAGTTTCAAAAGTGAGTTGAGAATTAACCACTCTCTGTTGCTTTACATGCTTCTGGTAACAATGTCCCTAGAATGTCTGTAAAACGATTCACTTTCGTATTCTCTCTCGTATTAAGTTCATACATGCATTTTAAAATTCTACATATATATATATATATATTTGAATAAGGCATTAAGAAGACAAATTTCGCGAGATGATATCATTTCGTAGTTTCTTTACAACCGCTTTACAACTACGAAATGATATCATCTCGCGAAATTTGTCTTCTTAATGCCTTATTCAAATTTATCAAAGGGACTAATTGTTTTGATATATATATATATATATATTTAAAAGTCCCATTTCTGTGATTTACTCTTATAGTTTCAAAGTCATCAAATTTTTCATGTGTTCGTGATTGCTGCAGCATTTGTTCATTATCATGGAGTAGCTCGACTTGCCAGTTACAGATTATCAGATGGAGATTGTCGTCCACCGGATGATTTTCTTAAAAATTATGATCTCTACATACCATTGGATATATTAATAAAAATTGTTAAAACATCTGATCAAAAATAATCCACCTATTCCACTCCACCCTAACCCTCATAAAAAGAAGTTTATTCCTCAAAACTGTGCATTTTTTCAATCTTTACGTAAAACCAGAGGGAGAGAGAGAGAGTGAGTACAACGTCACCAGTTCATAAACTGTCATCAATTAATTCCTTTGTGTATATGTCACGAGAAACAATGTCAAATAAATCACATTTACCGTAGCTTCTTTCATTTATTTTAAACAAGAATTTCGGCGTTATTATTTTTTTTTTAAGATAAATAAATATTGAATTCCTTTCCTATTCACAGTGTATAGATATATGTAATTTTTATAAACTAAAATAGTTTTATCACATTTCTGATCATGTCAGTTTTTTTCAGTGAAAAAGTCAAAATATTTTCAGATTTAATTGTGAAAGCAATTCTAATCTGTGATCGATTATTGTGATGTGTATTTGTATCTCCTTTTTAAAACGAAGCAATTTATTCTATTTAACTCAGGACTTTTATTCAGTAAATCGCTTTATTATTACTTTAATTAATCAATACTATCATGTATTCAATAAATAAATACTACTACTAATTTTTATTGATTTTCTGTTTTGTTTTAATGTTTGTCTACATGTACATACGTATATGTTTATTTATTTTTTGTTTGTTTGTTTGTGTGTATGTATGTATGCTTCATATTGTTATAAAAGGTCTGTTGAGAAAGTGTCATGCATAGTGAACAGGTTAACATGTAAGGTCATTTATATTCACATGTTCATTTCGTGTACAAAAGCTTTTTACAGGGATGTTGCTCTTCTTCAAAACATTTATGCTTTAGTGTATCTCTATCTGAATATCTAATTAATTGAGCTCAACTCGCTAAATGTCTTTCTTCTTTTTCAATAATTCATTTGTTTATTAACAATTCTCTAATGATTTACACACATGATCTTATAATTTAACTACCTTGACTATCTTGTTTATTACTCTTTCTGCCTACAACCTTTGCACTGATAATTAATCTGATGCTTACTAATGACTACCTCTATATACAGGAAGTTACCTAGATTTCTACTGAGAAGTCGAAACCAGCAGGGTCCACCAAGTCAGGTAAGAGAACATTTACTCACCTGTAACAATGGCTGGCAGTTGCAATACATAGCACAGAAGTTGGAATTCATGCGCCATTTGGACTGGTCTCCAGTTTCTGAATGGTCTACAATCCCACCTTATAGCCTGATGAAGAGACCTCAACTACGACGAAACAGCTGTTCAGCACTCCCTGGTTTCCCAATTGTTCTGTAATTGATATCAGCCCATGATGAATTATTATTATTATTGTTACCTCTAGTTCCTAGAGGAACATAGGGCTTCAGCCGCACGTCCTCATTGCGTTCGATTCTCTGCCAATGTTTTCACCTGGCTTCACGTCTGTCTGCCTTGGAGCGCTTTTCGATTACTACGCTATATTTGCTCAGTTACATAAAACTCTTATTTCTCTGGCGCTTCTAGCCAAGAAGTTGTGGAACTTATGGTAATTATTTGACTTTCAAACACTAAATCTATGGATATAATTTTGTTGACTGATAATACCTATAACTATTTGTTTGGCATATTGTGACTGTTTAACACTATCTAATATCTATAATTGCATATAATGTTGGAATTATTCAATTTGACCCAAGTCAGTGAGTCTATGGCTTTGATATCATTTTGTCAACTGTTTTTTGTTCTTGTAAGTGATACCACTGCTACAGTTTTCTATTGTTGTTGTCTCTGCTCTTCCTGTTGTAAACTTTTTTCCTTTTGCTGGTGTTGTCCTGATTGCTTTATTCCTTGTTTCCGTATGCTAAGGGGGGCAACCCAAAAAGTCACTCCTCTGTAAACTCTGCATTAATGTAACAACCTCCTTCTCAGGCGTGAGGCTAGCAACGCCACCCTGTAAACAAAATTGCTACAGAAACTTCAGCATGATGAGTCTCCTTGCGACAAAAGAAATAGCTCATGATAAAACCTGCAACCAATTAAATCTCTGCAAGCCAATACTTGATAAGGTTAACTTTGTCTGAGAAATTTCTATCGCATTACATGTGTAAGTAGAGGAATTCTTTTTATATTTTACTAACTGTATGTTTCTATTTATATACATACCGTGATCATTCTTAAATATTATTCTCCATTATTTTATCTCTAATCAACTAAAGGACTATGTTAAAATTGAAATAATAAAACTATTAACTTTCATTATTCAGGTCATATGTAATTGATAAGATATTGATTGATGTAATAAAATGGATCTATTTTAACCTACTTGATGTGTGGTCATTGATTTTTTCAGGTTATTCTAAGCATAGGTAGCAAGTGTCTTTGTTTCAGTGGGAACCTAACATCACACCCTTAAATGCGGATTACTTTTAACTTTCCATTAAAATCCCTAACGTTAACAATGGAAAGACACGGTATTTGCATAAATGTGTGGGTGGGTTGCCAGTTGACTTCAATGTTCATCTAACTTAGTTGTCCATTAGATTTGAGATTGATTTATTAGAACATTAATTCTTTTCTCATCCATGAATAGTATTATTATTCTCTTGGGTTCCGAATGGAAAATAGGCCTTCAACAACACATCTCCATTTCATCCTGTTCTCTGCAGTCTTTCCTAGCCAGCTTCACGGTTGACCATAAGCTGTCATCTCCTCTATGTCACCTTCGGACACCCGACTCATCGTCTCCCACTCGAGGGCTTGCATTACGCATGATGTCAATCAACGGTATTTTCATTGCATATCCAATCCATCCTAGTCTTGGCTTCTCTGCTTCTTCTCCCAACTTACTGGATTTTAGCTCTAGATCTTCGAGTTTGTGCAACAGTAGACATAAATCATCCATGAAGTCTAAATCTTCTAGAATCCTATCGACCGAAAGTATTCCTGTTTTATCGCTGCCCATAGCCTTAAGCATGATCCGATTCGCCACAATTAAGAATGTTATCAGTTATAGTAGGTACCTTTGTCCTACTATTGTTCTAAATTGAAAAGGCATTGTTGAGTTTCCCTTTGTGAATCACTTGAGATGTGTCACAATCATATAGCTGTTGAATTAGGTTGATAAAGATTAGAGGCATTACACTCCGTGGTGTTGAAGCAGTGATCAACTTACTTCGCGGTCAGCGCTATTGAAGTCCTTTTCAAAGTGGACATAGTTGAGGTAATTAGTTAATCTGATAAGGTTAAAATTGCTATTGAGTGAGAATAAAGGTAGTTGAGTGTCAATTTAACAAGTGTGAACAGGGTGTGAAAATGTACAAAAGGAACATATGAGAGGGATAATAGTGAATGAATTATTAAAGCAAAAGAAAACTAAAAGGAAAAGAAAAAATCAAAATTTTTTTACAAGGAACGACTAGTGAAGAGGTTAAGACCAAAGTAGAATAAGAGACTGGACGAACTTTTTCTGTATAAAGAGTTCGGGGTTGCACTGCCAGCGCCTCCGCCATACACAAAAGCCGAAACATGACGCCCTCACCTTATAGATGATCTTCAAAGACGACTCTGGTGGAGCTGCGTGGCCTGAGTTCACCAAGTGCTCGAGAGTTGAACTAGTAATTGTCTTGCATTGTCCTTTCGCTAACCATGCTGGATAATGTACAGAGGTGAGTTTGGAAAGTGTGCACTTTGTGTGACCAATATAACTAGCTCCACACGAGCAGGTGAATTTATAAACACACATTGAAGTGGCCCAAAGCGGCAGTTTATCCTCCACACATCGATTGATCAGTTGGCTGTAGAAATTCATCGGTAGCTCAGCCGTAAAGAAGACTTTCCTCAGTGATCTGCATAAGCGATTCTTCAAGATCTCAGCTGCGGTATCACCTTTAAATTCAGCGCTCATAAATAGCAGTTTGTTCGGCACCGTCTGGGTTCTTTCAGGTTTTTGCTTTAACTTCATGTTTTTCTCGATAAATCTTGGAGGATATCCATTCTCTATGAGGACTTGTCTGAGTCGCCCCAGTTCCCCATCAATTGTATCACTGGAACATATCCTCCTTATTCTTGAGGACAAGGAGTGGATCAGATTTCTTTTTCTTCTCAAAGGAACCCAACTATGGAAATTTGTGTACTGACCATTTCATTTTGGTTTCCTGTAGATCGATCTTTGAAGAGAACCATCAGATCTCCTTTTCAAAAAAGCATCCAAAAAATAGAATTCCGAGTTCATCTCTGATTCTGACGTGAATTGAATGGTATGATGGCAGCTGTTCAACTCCTTAGTTATCAGTTCGATGTCGGTATTGTCGTCAAATGTGATGAAAGTATTATCCATGTATCTCTGGTACAAATGGAAACTATCGATAGTAGGCCGTAACATACTATTCTCCAAACTTGCCAAGAAGCAGTCTACAAATAAAGGACCCAGTGGTGACCCCATTGCCACTCCATCTCTTTGTCTATAAAGCGTGTTGTTGAACTTGAATTGGACGTTTAAAGTGCACCTCAATAGTAGTTCCTTTAAGTAGCGGATCGGAACACACATGTCTACATTATTATCCTCAATGAATTTGCATATAAAGCAAGTAGTTTCAGTGAGGAGAACATTGGTGAAAAGGGAAGTAACATCCATGGATATCATTTTCTTCCCGGATACATTAGCAGCACTTATTGAATCGACGAATTCAAATGAATCAGAAACACTATGCTTGCAGAGGTTATTACTGATAGGTAGGAGGATGTCTGCGAGCCATTTGGCAGTAGCATGATATGGGGGATTTGTCTTGGACGTAGTGGCACGTTCTCTTTGTGCACTTTCGGCAGGCCATATAAACGGGGAATCACGGAACCCGAGGGTCGTATTTACTCAAATAATTCAGAGCTGATAATCGATTCGTTCTTCATCTTCTTCAGCATTTGTGTTATCTCTCCTTCAATTTGTTCCGTTTGGTATTTCTGGCTACTTTCTTTTGAAAATTTGTTTTCATCTGACATCACGAATAACATTTTATCGATGTAGTCTTCGTGATCCATCAGGACAATGCCAGCACCTTTATCGGGGCTGGTCAGAACCAAGTCTTTGTTCTTTAGAATCTCACGTAGTTGCTTTCTGTGCTCGGCTGAAGTCAATCTTTTGAAATTTGGTTTTGTGTTGATGTACTGATGGCAGCTATTCAATAC